GAGGCTATAGTTTTCTCAATTCTTGAAGTTAAGCTGAATGGATGAGCTTAAACAAGCTGAAATTGGATCTAGACAAAATGGAGGTGCTGCTGATACAAAACTTTAGTGTTGTAGAGAAGGTCATAATTCTTTTGATAAATGGGGTCAATAAAACCCATATCTGATAAAGCTAGAAAAGAAGAGGTACATCTGGAACCACTTTGCTGCTGGTTAGAGAGGTACAAGCACTAGGCAAACACACTGTCATGAAGATAATCTTCTTCATAGAGAATAGGGATGTCAAAATACCAGCAGGGAGTTAACCAACAGTCTGAGTTCAAGCCAATTAGTCCAAATGAAAGGCAAACAATAGCAGGATAACAAAACAGAGAAGATCAGTGTCCATCCCATGGTTGAAAGTCAAATACAAGAGTGTCCAGCTAAATCGGAACCCATAAGCCAAAGTTGACAGGTAAGTACAGAGCTCAGGAATACAAGATAGCAAGAGAGCAAGGACATCGCTCTTAACACTGACATTGCAGCCAGCAATAAGGTGCCACACTTGAGTGCCTTAAATTCTAAATATTCATATATTCCCTACTGCTGGCTCATTTCTCTGTTAATCTCAAGGACCTGCAAAGTTCAGCCTTCTCTCTTTGCAGGTGCATGAAAGTTGTGACACTTCCCTTCCATTGCCTGCTCAGAGGAGCTTGCTTGCCTTTGGTCTGTGGGCTGAGAAGAGGTAGCTACTTCCATGGGTTCTACCTCTGAGCTTTGCTGAGGGAGCTGCTGGGCTCCATCTTCAGTGCTGGCCCTCCAACCAGCACCTTCTCATCCTCATGATCCATGCTATCCACAACAAGGTATCAACTATGTTGATCCATGGCTGAGATCCCTATTCAGGAGATGTATACATCTTCAAGGAGGATTTGGCAAGAAAACATAAAGAGATTCAATTATAACAGATGCATACATTACATCTCCTGATGTTATCTTGCCAAATCCTCCTTGAAAGCCAGCATAGCCATTTCCAAATTCTCAGAGAGTGTGGGAATCAATGGTAATGTGTTCAAGTATTCTGTTTTAGTAGAACATGGTGTAACAGGCACCAGCAGAAACCTCCAGCATCCCTGGAACATTCCTACAAGTAACATCCTTACAGAGAGTCCATCTAAAACCATGTTCCCAGCCTTTGGTACTGCAGATACTTGGGACAAACTCCCAGGAGCACAAACCAACTTGGCAAACTCTCAGGAATTCTGGGAACTAAAGTCCAAAACACTGAGAGGACCAAATATTGGTAAGCAAAATGACTGGATACGTTGCTGTTGATCTCTCTCCAACAACCTGGAAATGTAAAGACAAAGATCCACCCAGAGGAAAAGTGTTCTTGCCATACATTAAGGGAACCACTGACTGCATAGAGAAGCTGATGAGGAAACACAACATACAAACTATCTACAGACCCACTAAGAAAATCCAACAAATGCCACGTTCAGCTAAGGACAAGATGAATCCTCTCATCGCTGCAGGAGTCTACCAGATACCATGCAACTGTGGACAAGTCTACATAGGGACCACCAAACGCAGCAATGCCCAAAAACGAATCGAGGAACATGAAAGGCACTGCAGACTACTTCAACCAGAGAAGTCAGCCATAGGAGAGCACCTGATAAACCAACTTGGACACAGCATATTATTTGAGAACACAGAAATGCTGGACCACTCTCACGACTACCATGTCAGGCTACACAGAGAAGCCATTGAAATCCACAAGCATGTAGACAATTTCAACAGAAAGGAAGAAACCATGAAAATGAACAAAATCTGGCTACCAGTACTAAAAAAAACTCTTAACATTATAACAGTAAATAAAAACAAAACTCAAACACAGGGGAACTCCAGCCAGGAAACAATCAGGAACACCTGGTCACCTCTCAACAAGGAACTTTCCCAGGCAGTAACAAGCCACACCTAAAAACTGTCAGGCCATCAAATGCTAATCAAGGTGGCCAATTGAAACTTTCATTCCTAGCTCCAACAGACAAGAGTTCTGTCTCCCACCCGGGACCTTCCACAGATATATAAACCCAATTTTCCACTTTCCAACAAACCTTACAATCTCTGAGGATGCTTGCCACAGATGCAGGTGAAATGTCAGGAGACAATGCTTCTAGAACATGGCTATACAACCCGAAACACCTACAACAACCCAGTGATTCTGGCCACGAAAGCCTTCGACAATATAACCTGGAAATGGTCATGTTTGAGGATCTGCAGGGCTTACAGGATGGACTTTGAGTCACTGCATGGTCAGAGCAGGATTCTGATCTATACAATGATAGGAAATGCAAGTTGTATGCCAGAAGGTAGATTATAACTTACTAACAGGATGCTAGCCCATGTGATTACTATTTTGAAAACTAGTTTCTGATTGCCTATCACTGTGTGATTATTTTCTGACAATTAGCTTTGCCTTATGAATGAGAGACCTCTAAGATCAACGTAAGTCCTGCTCAGTTTCTGCAAATGAAGGGCCAAGATTTCCTTGACTGAGACTGTCTACAGTTATTTTTTCTTTTCCTAGTCCTTTTCACTTTACTGACCATTATCTTTTATAGTGAAATATGGTGTCTCATGATGTATCTAAAGGTGGATAGTCTCAGGTTAGTAATTTTAGCTTGTAATGACAGTGCAGGCTAGAACTCGTTTTTCTTTTCATAGCATATTTCTTCATCAAACTGGTCTTTGATGATCACCCAGAATCTCCAGCTAGTGTTAGTACATTTCTTGTTAGGTGGTGGGAAGAAGAAATATATCACCTATGCTCCTTGATCAATAAATAGTCAAGGGCATAGGTGTGTGAAAGCTGCCAAAGACGTGTGTGGACATTGCACAAAGAGGAATTGTGTGCAACATATGAAACAAGACAAACACAAGTTATGTCATCAATACTATTCCAGCTGTTCAGACTTTTATCACACCTCTCCATGTTGTTGCATTTGAAATCCACTCCTGATATTCTTTATTACTGATGCTCTCTATTTCACCCCTGCTGCATTTGCACCTTAGTATTACGATTTACTTTCCCTATGCACACTAATGAGAGGAATGCCATTACCTGTACCCTGCTCTGAGTTTATGACTGGCTTGCTATTTTTATATTAAAAATGTAGATGTAATAGGGCAATAACAATGTCATTATCACATGACTCAAACAATATCATTACAATGTCCTTTGCAACTGCCAAGATCTTTTCCCATAGAAGGTGACAGATGAAAAGAAAGTGACCGTGTCATTCCCCTCCATTTATATTCCTTTCTCTTGCAGAAAGAATAGTCTGCCAGATATGTTTTGTCTTCTGTGTAATGCGATAGCATTTTGCCTTACAGCATTATAGCTTTAAAATTATATAGTGTACATTATATATCTTATAGCATTATATTACCTGTGGCATTGTAATGTAATTGTTCTGTCTCCCAGGAGACTGGTTTGCATTGCTTTTTTTTTTTTTTTTGGTTGCTTGAAGTGGCTGCCCCTTGCCTTTCTCTTGGGAGCTGCTGCAGCCTTGCAGAGCCTGGAGTTTGCAGCCAAAGGCTGGAAAAGCCAGCCTGCAAACTCTTTGCAATGATTGGCCTAGGGAGCAACTCTTTGAGCCTGCCCCTGCTCCTGGGGAAAGACTTCCATTTTGGAGTCCTTCCTGCCTGTTCAGTTCTGAAGAAGGAATCTGATGTGCTGGTGGCCAGAAAAGGTAGCTCTGACAAACCACCACAAAACAATTGAGTTATAGAATTGAGAATAGAGAATTGAGAAATTATAGTTAGATAAGCTTAATTGAGCTATAGTTAGATAGATTATAAGAGAGTTATAGAGTATAAAGAAAAATAGATATTGAGCTTTGAGAATTGAGTTTTATAGAGTCTTATAGAGAGAGAGACTGCATTGCCTTATCTCCAAGGCTAATCTGGAGCTTAGATAGATAGGGAAAGATTTGTTCTTTCTAAAGGCAACAGCTCTGGATGAGGGTGAAGGATCCCTGGATCCCTTTGCTACTTGGGGAAAGTTTGACTCAGTAACTGGTGGAGAAGAGAAAGAAGAAATATCTATTTGGTTTATCAATTGACTGTTCTGTTTGCAACTTTGAGAAATAAATATCCTTTTTGATGTTCAGAACTTGTAATAGACTCAGTTACTGAGAATCTCAGTCTTCTCAAGAAAAGCACTGGCAGTTCACCCAGACATAAGGAACAGCACATCATAGTTTTGGCTTTATAAAAGCGTCTGGTTGTAACGGCACAGTAATACTGCTGTTCCATTATAGCAATGATTCCATTGTTTTGCTTATTATCATTATTTATCATTGTTATTATTTATTTTTATTCTGCCTTTTTCTTGATATAAGAGAGAAAGATGGAATACAAATATCAAAGTGGCTAACAATAAATATGACACAATGCAAATTTAAAAAACGTACATGTATTAAAATATGAAAATAAAAATTAAAAACCAGTCAAAGCCTTTGTTATTAAATCATTAAAGACAAAATATTAAACTATATTAAATAGTACACAATCACCACAAAATCCCAACCAGACCAATCCCAGCAGCCCACTTCTCATATTTCATAAATGTCCAATGGCAGAAATATGTTTTCACCCATCTGTGAAAAGCAAACACAGAGAGAGCCATCCTGGTCTCTCTAGGAAAGGAGTTCCCAAGTCTGGGTGCAGCCGCTTTCCTTATTCTCACCAAATGATTTTAAGAAGGTGTTGAGACAAAAGCTCTCTTGACAATGCCAGATAATCCAGGTTATCAAAGCAGAAAATCCACATTATCTGATTTGAACTGGATTATTTTAGACTACACTGCCATATAATCCAGTTCGAAGCAGATAATGTGGATTTTATACAGCTGTGTAGAAGGGGCGAAAGAGAAGACCCTCTCCAAATGATCTTAATGCTCTAGCAGGCTGCCAGATTAAGCAGCAGAACTTCTACATGCTCCATGCAAAAGGACTCACCTGGCCATAATTCCAGCTTCTGGATCTTATATTTTCAGGGTCTCCATAGAAAATAACCCCAAGGTCATTCAGGACATATTCTTGCCTTTGTTTTTCATCATCCAGATAAACGAGATCCTCTGCATCAGAATTTATTTACAAAATATGTGTTAATGCTAAATATAATAAATGCCAGGTTTTTATACTACAAAACGATATGACAATGAGTAAAAAATCCACTTTTTCTTCTTCTGACATACCAGTAGGATATTCATTCTCCTAACACAATACCCCATAATTGGAAACCAGGTACACTTAAAAAAAAACACTCAAAAAATGGGGGGAGAAGGTGGAATTGGTAACTCCTAACTATTTTGAACAGGATCTGTAAAGCATGATTAAAATGTCACCTCTTATCAAGCATTTGATGGTTCTGCATTGCTAAGTTGAAAAATCTGAGTGCCATGATACAATTATGCACCTGTGTAGCAGATCAAAGAGGAACTTCAGGACTTCTTAAGCTTCATGGAAAGCAATTTAGTGTTGAAATATTTAAAGGTAAAACCAGTTCTGGGCTTTAAAAAAAACGAGGGCGAATTGCATGCCCTAGAGATTGAAGACACAGCGGCCACTTCTATACGTAAGGCAAACTTCTAAAAAATCATTTAAATGATGTGATTGTTATGGATGGACTCCAAGAGGCTGGACATGCTTTATGAGAAATAGCTCTTTTGGGGGTTTTCTTTCAGGGCCAAAACAAAAGAACCTGTGATCTGCCGGGTGTCATTGAACTCCAACTCCCATAGTCAATGGACAAGGATTGTCAAATCGTATCTGGAGAAAGGAAAGTTCCCCATCCTTGTCTTAATATATATGTGAGTATATGTGTGATATATATATGTGAGTATATATATCAGAGGTGGGACTGTAGGTCACATTTACTCTTTCAATGCCCTCCAGGATGTGTAAAGCATTTTCACCATGCTTTTGAGCCCAATGCTGTCTTAGATCTAAACCAGGAAGTTTCCTGTCACTTCCTTTTACTGATACAAAACAGATTAAAACAAAACAAAAGACCTCTCCTGAGCCTCAAATAGTAGATAAAGCAATTAATACTAATTTTCACATGGAATTATAAAACGTACTCCAGATAAATATTTATTTATTTATTTACTATATTTGTATAACACCCCTCTCAGCCTTCCAGCGACTCGAGGCGGTTTACAAGGCAAAATTCAATGCCACAAAAACACAAGTACAATTTAAAACATTAACATCAATAAAATAAAAACACAGCAATAAAACATAAGTCATAATAAATCCTCATTAAAAAAACATTGCCCACTCCCATCATCCTGTTATTTTGATTTCCTATGTCTGTTACTCAATATTTGCAAACACTTGTTCGAAAAGCCATGTTTTGAGTTTTTTCAAAATGTTAGGAGCAAAGACGCTGATCCGATCTCCCTAGGGAGGGCGTTCCACAGCCGGGGCCACCGCTGAGAAGGCCCTGTCCCTCATCCCCTCCAGACGTACTTGTGATGAAGGTGGGACTGAAAGCAGGGCCTCCCCAGATGATCTTAAGGTCCTCGATGGTTCATAAGAGGAGATACGTTCTGATAGGTAAGTTGGGCTAAAACTGTTTATAGGCCAAAGCCAGCACTTTGAATTGGGCCCGGTAGCAAACCAGCAGCCAGTGGAGCTGGCAGAGCAGGGGGGTTGTATGCTCCCTGAGAGCCACTCCTGTTAGCAACCTGGCTGCCGTCTGTTGGATCAGTTGAAGCTCCCGGACCATTTTCAAAGGCAACCCCACATAGAGGGCATTGCAGTAGTCTATATGGGATGTAATCAGAGCATGGACTAAATAAACGGTTCCGGCCCAAGCTACCTATCTGACCGCATCTCTGCCTATGAACCCACCAGGAGTTTGAGATCTTCCGGGGAGACCCTGCCCTCGATCCCGCCTGCTTCTCAAGCTCGGCTGGCGGGGACGAGAGATAGGGCCTTCTCGGTGGTGGCTCCTCGGCTGTGGAACGCCCTTCCTACGGACATTAGACTAGCACCATCTCTAATGGTATTCCGCAAAAAGGTGAAGACCTGGATGTTTGTGCAGGCGTTTGAGTAATTTAGTGCAATCTGGTAATGGAACATAGGAATGGAACAATGGACGACGAACCTGGACTACGCTTGGATGATGAGAAGATTGGGTACGGTTGTTTTTCGTAATAATTGTGCATTGTAATTGCTTATTGGTAATTTATGGATAATGTGTTAAGTCAATTGTTATATGTTGCATGGAACCACTGCTGTTTCTACTGTTTTTACTGTTTGTGAACCGCCGTGAGTCGCCTTCGGGCTTGAGATACAGCGGTATATAAGCAAAGTAAATAAATAAAATAAATAAATAAATAAATAGCCAGTCCTACTGATGGTTCTTTTGTGCCTCAATACTACCAACATCATACCAAAAGCCTTTATGAGTAAAGATTTTTGAGCAAGAAAATGTATTACTAGTCTGCTTTCCATTATCCTTCACCGGGCTGTACAAATTTTGATAGGATGTATGTATATGTGCATGTGTACATGTTTGTATAGCCTTATCTGAAAACATTGTCTCTTGAAATCAATTTACATTTTATCAAACGTTATATTTTACACATTTTTGTAAAAGGAAGGAGAGATTAATGAATTTTATTTGTCAAATCTGCTCAGTTTTGTACTAAGTGAAGAGCTGTTGAAAAAGAAGGGAAAAGAAAAAGAGAATGAGATCCAATAAGGCCTTTGAATTCCCATGGTGAAGGAAAGCACATTGCAGAAAACAGCTTCTTTGATTTTTGACAGCTATTAATGCACCTGGACTTGGATTGAGAAGCAAATCTGGAACTTTGATTGTGAATCCCTTAGGGGCAGCTTTTGCTTGCTAACAGAATAGCACTGGGAAAGAGGAAAGATTTCATAGATCTAATATACACTGATTTAATGAAGGAAATGAAGGAAATCAATCAGTTTCATCTATAGAAGCTAACACAGTTCTGCCCATTCTGTAAAAGCATGTAAATTGGAGCCGGATTTTGGGATATGAAACAAACTTTTTTTGTCCCAACAGCAGTTCATTTGTCAACACTGCCTCATGAATGCTAATCAGATAGTCAAGTGGCAGAACTAATAAGAAGACACTTTCAAATTCAGGATATGAAGTTTAGAAGTATAAATCATAAAATGAATTTATTTACTGATGATGTTCTGCAATTTTTGTCTAATTCAATAAAATGTATAGGACAGGTGATGAAAATCTTAATGGGATTTCAAGTGAATACCCCTGTCTCAAGCACAGTTGGTGGGAACGAGAGAGGGGCCTCTGGATCTCCCTCTCTAGAGAACTAAAAATGGCCCCCTCTCTCCTCTTCTTTAAAAAGCTTTTAAAAACTTACGTACCTGTCCTGTTTTGCTCCAGAAACAGCCTTACAACATGAGTAGAAGTAACTAAAAAAGCTTTACTTCAGCAAACTAATAATTATAATAATGTAATCAGCAGTAAAGGAAACAGAAGGTAAAGTTCAAAAGCAATGCAAGGTCTTACAGCAGATGTGAAACCAAAGTCTTTGGCAACAAGTCTTCACAGCAGATAAGAGCAAGTGTCTTTGGCAAAAGGCTTACAGTATACAGAAACAAGAGTCCTTGGTGAGAAATCTGGTGCAAAGCCAATGCTGTTGCTGTAGCACGGAGACCGGAACACACACACACAAAGTAGGTCGGTTGCTGCCAGTGCTGACTTCTGGCTTCACTACTACTTTATAGTCCTGAGCTCCCAACACAGATGTTCTAAGGTGAGGTCTGATTCCTCAACATTTTTGCTGTGATTCTAGCTGATCTTCTTCTTTCTTCTTTTGCCCTTTGCTGTTCTTGAAATGTAATGACTCGTAGTATGTCTTTCTTGCCTTTTCCTTCCTCCTCAGCATTTGGCCAAGTGCTGCCTATTCAGCCTCCTGTTCTACCTCCTCCTCAGAAGCAGAAGAGTAGCTCACAACAGTACATTAGCTTACGGAGGGGAGGAGGATTACTACACCTCCAGATAATCCTCACCTAGATATATCGACACCACTACCAGCTGGATGCTGTAAACCATCTCAGCTTTTAATACCTTTTAGTCCATTTTTAAGAACTTCTCATATGGTAAATGTGTGTGAGGTGTTATGTTTATTTAGTGTTTACTTTTCAATTATTTTTGTTAGTTTTATAATTTTATATTGAGTTTATTTTATCTGTTTTATTTGTTATTTGTTTGTTTTTGGCTTTGAATGTTTGCCCTTTGCTACTTTTGCTGGAAACTGCCCTGAGTCCCCCTCGGGGAGATAGGGTGGGTTATAAATAAAATATTGTTATTATATTTATTTTCATTATTACTAAAGTGAATATCCCCACCTCCAAATGCGGGAGATTTACCTGTTACACATGAGCCTTACCTGTACACCAGGGGTTGAACAGTATATATGTGTCTGTGGCTGGGTTTCTTCTTGTCCTCAGAATGCCAATTGGAGTTGAGATTGCAATGTACATGCGGAATTTCCCCACAACACAGTTTGCAGCTGGCATGATATTCAAGGCTACAAACTGCCCTTCGCTGCGGGTGATCTTGGCACCCCATTCCCTACTTTGCAGCTCTTCAACCAATTGGACTTTGATGTACGTGCCTTTGGCTTGTTGTGGGTATCGCCCTGCAGAAAAATAGAAGAGAGGACAATGGTTCTTGCATGAATGCAGCAGGTGAATGAATTTTGTTCTAATTTATCAGGAAAAAATAGTAATTAACAGAGATGATGTGTTACAGTTGATATACTGACTAGGGCTGATAGGAGTTGTAATCCAAAGCTTTGGAGGGACAAGACGTTTCCCTACTCAGATGTTATAATACTGTGTTAGGCTGTATCTATACTTCCATAAAATCCAGATTATCAAAGTAAATAATCCACATTATCTGCTTTGAACTGGGTTAGATGAGTATACACTGCTATATAATCCAGTTCAAAGCAGATAATCTGGATTTTATATGACATTGTAGATCCAGACTGAGATTCAGTTATGTTTCAACATGGCATTAAGAAGATTTCTACGGTATTATCATTATCCCACTGAGATTAATCCAGGCTATAGTATCCCAAGAAAAGTATAAGCAAGGATTGGGTTATATCCCTTGCTTAACACAAACCTTGGTAGTGATAACTGTAACAGAGGCTTAAATTAGTCACCAATAAAACCTTGGTTTGGTCATGCTATCTTACATTTTAGTTCCCAAAGCTCAGGTGACATTGTGCAGGAAAGTTTCCATGTAACCTAGAATATTTGGGCTGCACAACAAAAGGGAGATTTTCAACAGAAAGGAAAAGTCAAATCAATAGCACGTTTGGAAAGATACAGTAAAGGACACTTCAAAAGAGGGCTTCAAAAGGAATAAGGTGTTGAAGGATATACAAACGTGGCAACCAAGATGAGAAGCCAGTGACTGCTAACAATTGGATCCGCGAGTTGAATGCAGACTTGTTCTTTGAACTGTGGCTAGGCTTGACCTTTCCTCTTGCTTGAGCATGTGCTGAATTTTAGTTCCGATACAGCAGAATAGCAAACAAAGCCCAAAAGAAAAGCCAAGGACGAAAGAAACTGAAATGCCAACAGATTTTAAAAAATCAACTGGCTGAACATGTCTATTTGAAATACCACCCTGTCCCTATTTTGGGAAGGGGATGAGGGGTGTACTTAGAACCTCTTCAAAGCTTTGCTTTTGGAAGCACTTTTGACACTGTTGATTTATTAATGCCTACAGGGCTGCATGTGAAAAATTCAGCCAAAGATGATGGACAGTACTCATAGCTACCAATCTACTAACTGGGTTTACTCAGGACTCCCTTATTCCAACCCTGATAAGCTGCTCTATTCTCAGCCTCTGCGAGAACACTGCTGTGTGGTGTTACTTCTCATACTTCTTTCAAATCTCTCCTCAGATCTCATCTTCAGCTCATCCCTAGTGCTCATGACATAGCCAGCTTACAATTATGACTAAGCATTGGTGTCTTTACCTCATACAGATTTAGTATCTCTGGTCTGCAATATTTGGGAGTAGAAATGTTCCATAATTTGGATTTTTGTTTTGTTTTTGGGAATATTTGCAGATACATGATGAGATAGGTTGGAAGTGGGACCCAAGTTTAAATAATTCATTGAACCATAAAAAAAGGAAAGGTGATTAAATTCAAAGATACAGAATGGGGATGCCTGGCTCAATAGCAGTACGTGTGAAAAATAGCTTGGAGTCCTCATAGATCAGTTCAATGCAGTGAAATTTCATTACATAATAATAATAATAATAATAATAATAATAATAATAATAATAATGCACTATATTTATATTCTCCCCTAGAGAACTCAGAGTGGATTACAGCATTTACATACATAGGCAAACATTCAGTGCCTTTACAACAATGTCTTAAAAAGCCAATGAGATTTTGGCCTGCATAAATAGGAGTATAGTGTCTAGGTCCAGGGAAGTCATTCCACCCCTTATTCTGCCTTGGTCAGACCACACCTGGAATACTGTGCTCAATTCTTGGCACTGCAATTGAAGGGAGATGTTGACAAGCTGGAATGTGTCCAGAGGAGGGCAACCAAAATGATCAAGGGTCTGGAGAACAAATCCTAAGAGGAGCGGTTTAAAGAACTAGGTGTGTTTAGGATGCAGAAGAGAAGGCTGAGAGGAAACATGATGGCCATGTATAAATATGGGAGAGGTAGTCATAGCAATGAGGAAGTGAGCTTGTTTTCTGTTGCCCTGGAGATTAGGATGCGGAACAATGGATTCAAAATACAGGAAAGGAGATACAACCTGAACATTAGGAAGAACTTTATGACTATGAGAACTGGTCACAGAGGAACTCTCTGCCCCGGATTGTGAAGAAGGCTCCTTCTTTGGCCATCTGTCAGGGGTGCTTTGAAAGTGATTTTCCTGCTTCTTGGCAGGGGGTTGGACTGGATGGCCCATGAGGTCTCTTCCAACACAATGATTCTATGATATTTTCTGAGCCACCTATGTGGGATATTGTAGTATTTTGGATTTCAGAATTTCACATAAGGTATGCTCAATCGGTATTGCTTCCCTGTTAATTTCTTTTTTTAAAAAAAAAAATATTTATTGAAATTTTCATAAAAAGAGACGACTAATTCACAAGGGAAAGGGGAAAAAGGGAGAGAAAAGGGGAAAGAAATGAGAGAAAAACTTTAAAAACTTTAAAGCTGTAAATTTGGATGTAGTTCATTGTTAACAGTGTTACAAAACAGAGACAGAGTTAAACTGCAAATTCAGTTAGGTCTATTGCATTACTATCAAGATATTTCTCCTAATGTACAAGCCATATTTGCCTTCCTATAACTTAAACCCATTAGGTCTGAAGTGGCAGAGAACAACCCTCATCTAAGGACGAGGACTTCAGGCTCAAGAAGAGTGTTATCATATCATATTGTATCACAAATAAACTCACTTCTTTCATCCCTTTCTCATAGGATTTGTTTTTCAAAGCCTGAACCATATTTAAGTGATGTCTATGAATCCATTCCATTTTGTTTATTTCAGAGCTGAGAAAAATGTGCAGTTCTCCAAATTTTGCTAGATAACAGTTCCCATTAGTCTTAACTAAAACCATAAATGATAATAGATTATGGGAGCTGCATTCCTACAACATGTAAGGGCCCACATTTTGCCTATCATTCGCCTATGTAACCGTATTTACTTGAACCTAATGCACCATCAAATCTAATGTGCATCTCAATTTTCAAAACCCTGAAACCAAAAAAGTATTTGCTGGTGAATGTAGTGCGCAGCAACAAAAAGTGAAGTCTTTGTAATTTGGCTAAAAAGATATGCATAACAGTGGCTACATGCTTATAATTTCATCTTTAAAAAACAAAGGTGTTAGCACACCAAAGCTTCCAACAATGGAAAAGAAAGCGAAGGGTTCATTTATGCTGAGGAATGAATCCACTTTGCCCTGGCTCAATTGTATGGCATCATGTCATTTTATAAGGTCTTGAACTTTCTCTGCCAAAGAATGCTGGTAGCTCATCAAACTACAAATTCCAAGATTGCATAGCTATTAAATGAGAGATGATGTCCCTCAAATAGGTGCTCCTGAAGTAGCTTCCTCTATTGCTTTGGTTCAGAACTAAGGGCACTTCCATACTGCCATACAGGCCCGTAGCCAGGATTTTGTTTCGGGGGGGGGGGGGGGGGGGGGTTGAGTCTGAGTGAAAAATATTACATGTAATATTACTAATTTTTTTTTTGTCGTGTCAGGAGCAACCGCTCCTGTTGTGAGAGAATTGGCCGTCTGCAAGGACGTTGCCCAGGGGACGCCTGGATGATTTTTGATGTTTTTATCATCCTTGTGGGAGGCTTCTCTCATGTCCCCGCATGAGGAGCTGGAGCTGATAGAGGGAGCTCATCCGCCTCTCCCCGGATTCGAACCTGCGACCTGTCGGTCTTCAGTCCTGCCAGCACAGGGTTTAATCCACTGTGCCACCGGGGGCTCCTACCTTTTGTATTGTTACCCCAATACCCCCGTGCATATGGGATATATTGAGCATGGTGATCAGATCATGATATGAATAAACATAACAGTTTAAATAATGTACCAGTAAGGCCTTCTCGCGGACCACCATCAGAATTTCGGGGGGGGGGGGAGCTGAAGCCCCCAAGCCCCCCCCCTGGCTACATGCCTGCTTCCATATAACCCAAAATATCAAGGCAGAAAATCCCACAATATCTGTTTGAACTGGGTTCTCTGAGTCCACACCAACATATATTCCAGTTCAAAGCAGATAATGTGGGATTTTATTCAGCTGTGTGGAAAGGGCTTAAGATTACTATACTACGCAAATCTAATGTGCACCCTAATTTTGGGAAAGTAATTTAGCTTTAAGAGGTGAGCATCAGATTCAAGTAAATTCAGTGCTTCTCAATGTGTGGACTCATAGTTTAAGGTAACATGCATTCACTCCAACCAAGCCTGAATTAACTCATTGCTATGTTTCAGCTAGAGAGGCAAGCATTATTCTGAAACATTGCTCAAGACAGTATAATGGAAGCATCACCTCCCTCATAGTATACAGACAGTAGTTTCTTATGTGTCAGTAGTGAAATACAAGGACTGGCAACCAGGACACACTACTTCGCACAGCCAGCAGAGGGAACACCAAGACTCAAAACAATTGCTTCTGGCTGGGTTCTCCCATCTTAGCAGTTGCTGTTTTCTCCTCTGAGTGCTTTGGGACATTCACATTTTCAGTCCTTAAAGAAAATTTTTGAATGCAGGAAGTGTTCTCCCCTCCTCAGCAGAATAAAGCAGAGCAGGATTGTGTTTTTAATTATTTGGTGGTGGTGCCAATTTTAAACAATCTCATTTGCTTTTAGACATCTTTGTGCCTTTGGGGAAGGTATTACATGTTGTGACGTTAATACATCTTCTATGTGATTCATTTATTTTACCCATATAGACCCTTCATTCTCAGCAAAAAACACAAACGCTTCTAGGCATATCCAAGGAATATAATAATTGTGACAGAATGAAAAATAATGGGTAGCTTTCTCAGAGGGGTATCAGCCTTGTGTACTAGCAGAGCAATAGTTGGTGGGTTTTGCTGTAAAGAAGTTACTCTGAAGGAAGAAGGAAAA